CACGACAGCGCGGGCGAGTTATAGACAACAGGCGGACGGGGGACTGAACGTCGCCGCCGAGCGCGCTGGCTTGCCTGCCGGGCCCCCTGGCTCGCGCGATTTGTGCGTGCTGTGGTATGGTTTTTGGCTGTTTCGCGGCCCTAATGGCCACGACACGAGCGCGGTAACGAACTGCCGCATTATGTACTGAGAGCTTGGATCGTTAGGAGCTTCTGCATGTATTTGATATTTGATTTTATTGAATTTTTCCTAATAATACAACATTATTGCCTTTAATTCTCACAAAGTGTTAAGAGTCGCATGTACAGTGGTGACCATAGTTACTTAATTTATTAATTTTCTTATGCCTGTATCGCTAACTGGTAATTGAACGTTAAAAATTTTATTCACTGATGAAGCTGGTTTTGCCAGAAGGGGTGTCTTTAATTCACGTAATTTTCACCATTACGCAGAAGAAAACCCTCATGCGAGGCGAGAACCACTTTCGACCACTTGGAATTTCGAATAAATGTTTGAGCCGGGATCATCGGTGACATCCTTCTAGGTCCTTATGTCATGCCGCGCCTCTTGAATGGCGAAAATTATCTCAATTTTTTAACGAATACTTTTCAGGTTTTAATGGAAGATGACCCTCTCGATCTTCGTGCTCAGATGTGGTTCATGCACGATGGTGCTCCTCCGCACTTTAGTGGATCAGAAGAAGAGGAGAGATGTTCCTGTCGAATAGCCCCCCAGGTCCCCCGACTTAACGCCGTGAGATTTCTTCTATGGAAATCCTTAAAGAATAAAGTTTACGCCACTCCTGTGGAATCCCAGGAAGAATTATTACGGAGGATTCAAAACGAGGCGGACGTAATACGGAATGATCCAGAAATATTGAGGAGGGCTCAATTTAATTTTAATCGAAGGATCCATCCAAGAAATGGCGGGCATATCGAACATGTTTTGTTATTCATCTATCGTATCTTTGTAACTATCTATCGTATCATCTAGTTTCAATAAAGAGAATTATGTCTCTCCTAAGTACGTCTTTACATTTTTTGCGCTTTAACAAAAAATAAATCTAATGAAATAAAGTGATATTCAATCCATCGCATCATGACGGACTTTAAAATTGTAACCATTTTACTTTCAATATTGATTCCTAGGTAAAAGAATTGGCATAATTATTAGAGAATGTTGCTTCTTGTGAAAGGGCAGATTTATTGCTATACATCTAAAATTGTTAATGCTGGTGCGTCCTGCCGATTAATTAGTTTTTAAGTTAGACTTAATCTGTACAATTAGCGACACTTTTATTTTTAATATTAAAACTCGCGAAAAAAAAGGTGTGAGGTTGAACCGAAGACCCTGTCCGCGAGTGAACTATTCGATTCCGAGAAGTACACGCAAGACGATAGATTCGCCGCTCGTCACGCTTTTGATTTTTATTTTGGTGCCTTCTTGGTGATTGGTGTTGTTGCTGCAATTAAGGGGTAAGTGTGCAACTTCACCTTCGCAATTTTTTTTTCTCTTTAATTTGGTCATACAGTCCACAAACGCAACANACTTACCTAAATGTAACAATGACTCCGCTGAAGCATTACGACATTTACTTAATGTTATTTCGGAAAATTTAGAATCTCTACAAATTTTAGGTCTCCCTGTTGACCAGTGGGACTTTGTATTATTTCATATAGTTGTACAAAAATTACATCCAAATGTTATTGAACGCTTTGAATTACAACATTGTAGCTCTGATATACCATCCTACATTGTTCTTAGTGAATTTTTAGAAAAACAGTGTACTGCTTTTGAGGCAATTGACTTATCAGTACAGAAATTTAATTATAAACTTAACAGAGGTTTTAAGAAAAACTTTTCGCACCCTAAAGACAACAGCCAGCGCTACAGTTTATTAGCCAATGTTAATACGCATAAAGTTTCTTGCCCATTATGTAAGAAAAATCATTTAATAATTAAATGTCCTACATTTACTCAAAATTCTCCGCGTGACCGTTATGCACTTGTCAAAAATCATAATTTGTGTGTAAATTGTTTAAGTAACATTCATGTATTAAAAAATTGTCATTCAAATTCAACTTGCAAAACTTGCAATAGTAAACATCATTCGATGTTGCATTTTAACGCACCCATTACGACACCTGCAATACCTGTTGCAGATATTAACAATGAATCGCCAAATGAAGTCGCGGTAAATGCACCTAGTTCTTCTTCAGTTAATGTTTTAACAAATTCTGTCTCAGTTAAGGCAAATAATTTTGTTTTATTAGCCACCGCTTTAATAGAAATCGCTGATGCTCGTGGAGTGTACCATACTGTTCGTGCTTTGATAGATTGCGCTAGTCAGGCCAGTTTTTTAACACAATCTTGTTTTTCGAAATTAGGTTTGCTTAAAAAAAGATTATCTACAAATATAAAGTGTTTAGGTGAATTATCTTCAGGGGCTTCTTATATAACCTCTAGTAATATGCGTCCAGTAGAACTATTAGAACCTACGCTGGAAATTGATTTAGTAGTTGTTCCACAAATATGTGAAAAAATGCCGAATTGTAATTTTTCTGCGACTAATTGGAGTCATATCCGCAATATTAAATTAGCAGATCCAAATTTTAATCGCCCCGGAAAAATTGACATACTTCTAGGTGCTGATATATTTTCTCAAATTATACTTGATGGCAAATTAGTTGGAAAACCGGAGGAACCAATAGCAATTAACACAATTTTCGGATATATTCTACTGGGTAAAACTAATTGTCAAAGTGATATGCGCATAGTAAAGTCATTTTGCATTCAGACAGATGCTAATCTAGATGACACTCTTCGAAAATTTTGGGAAATTGAGGAAACTCCTACAGTAGCAGTTACCCAAGCTCCCACATACGAAGAACAACACTTTATATCAACCCATTCACGCAACAGTTCTGGTAGATACATTGTATCGTTACCTTTCAAATCGGAGTTTATTAATTGTAATTTTCCTGAATCGAAAGATATTGCATTACGTAGATTTTTAAATCTTGAAAAACGCTTAATGTCCCATAAGGAATTATATTTACAGTATTCTGCATTTATGAGGGAATACTTGGATTTAGGTCACATGTCATTAATTAATTCTTCGACAAACACTGATCCTAATTATTTTTATATTCCGCATCACTGTATTATAAAACCTTCTAGTACAACCACCAAATTGAGAGTGGTATTTGACGCATCTGCTTCTGGACCTTCTTCCAGTGTATCACTAAATGATGCACTTTATATTGGACCTAAGCTTCAGAAGGATATCTCTGTAATTTTATTAAATTTTCGCATTCACGCATTTGCTATAGTATCAGACATTAAACAAATGTATAGGCAAATATTAATTACTACGCATGATAGAAAATATCAACGTATATTTTGGCGCTTTAATCAGAACGATCCAATTTTAACGTATCAATTAAATACAGTAACTTACGGTGTGAACTGTGCACCATTTCTAGCTCTTCGAACTGTTCAACAATTAGCTTATGATGAAGGAAATCAGTTTCCTAATGCAGCTCGCGTTTTACTTTCCGATATTTATGTCGATGATATTGTGACAGGTTGCAACTCATTAGATGAGGCAAAAACTCTTGTACAAGAATTAACGCAATTATTTAATCGTGGCGGATTTAAATTACGCAAATGGGCATCAAACGAGCCTTTAGTTTTATCTAATCTAGATGAATCGGATTGTTTTCAAAATTCGCGCAATTTTGACTCCTCAAATCAAGAAATTCTAAAAGTATTAGGTTTCATGTGGAATCCGAATAGCGATTGCTTTACTTACAAAGTTGAAGTATTGGATAGACCTGCAACAAAACGAACAATTTTGTCAGAACTGGCAAGAATTTTTGATCCCCTAGGGTATTTGGCGCCCTTAACATTTTTGGCAAAACACCTCATACAACATTTATGGGTTCTTAGGTTGGATTGGGATGAATATCCGCCAGAAGACGTTCAAAATTTGTGGTCGCGTTATAAAACAGAGTTGTATACTCTTTCGGAATTAAATATTCCTTGCTGTTTATCCTTTGATACTTACGCTACTTGCAACATACATGCCTTCTCGGATAGCTCCGAGTTTTACTTATCCTAATAATACAAAACTTACGCGCCTCATTTATGCCAAATCTAGAGTAGCTCCGCTCAAGAAAATTTCGCTTCCTAGGCTTGAATTATGCGCCGCGGTTTTACTAAGTGATATATTAGATTTTATAGTCAAAGCATATGAAACAAAAATTTCCTTTGATAATATTTACGCGTGGTCCGACTCTACTATAACGCTTCATTGGATACAAAATTCTTCGTATCGTTGGAAATCATTTATAGCTAATCGGGTGAGCAAAATTCAAACTAAAATGTCACCAAATTGTTGGCGTTACGTTCCATCTCAGGAAAACCCTGCGGATTGTGCAAGTCGCGGCTTATTACCTTCTGACTTGGTATGTCATCAGTTATGGTGGTCAGGTCCTCCATGGTTGAAATTAAATGAAAATTTTTGGCCGATACAAAATTTTGATAAGTCTACAATTGTACCTAATTTACTGGAAGAAAGAAAAATTACGCTTTTAAATACTCTCGCATGTGAACCTTTTATAGAACTTTTAAACAGATTTTCCTCCTTACATAAAATTCAACGCATAATTGCCTATTGCATTCGTTTTGTACACAATTTAAAAAATCCGCGTAACAAAAAATCTAATGCTTTCTGTTCTTGGGATTTGCACGAAGCGCTTTTAATCGTGATAAAATTTGTACAACAAATCGTTTTTGAGACAGAAATCACTTCGCTTAAAAATAACAAACCTTTACCTAAACCTTTTCGGAAGTTAAATCCTTTTATTGACGCTAAAGACGGATTGCTCAGGGTGGGCGGACGTCTTACGCATTCTAATATACACTATAACAGAAAATTTCCCATATTGCTACCCAGAAATCATCGCATTACGGAGCTTCTCATTGAAAAATATCATCATGACTATTTGCATACTGGCTTGCAAACGCTGCATTATTTAATATCACAACATTTTTGGATTCTCTCCGCAAAAAGAGCAATAGTCACACATTGACAAAGTGTTTAAAATGTTTTCGCGTATCTCCTTCATTTATACAACCCAAAATGGGAGACTTACCTTCCTTTAGAGTTAATCAATTAAAAACATTCTCCTGTGTGGGTGTTGATTTCGCAGGACCTATTTTTACTACTGCCATAAAAATGCGTGGCGCAAAATCTACTAAATCCTATATATGCCTTTTTATCTGTTGTGCTACAAAGGCTATTCATTTAGAGCTTGTCTCAAATTTATCTAGTGATGCATTTTTAGCAGCCCTGCGAAGGTTTATTGCACGTCGCGGTCGATGTTCGCAAATCTTGTCCGATAGAGGCAGTAATTTCATAGGAACATCGAAAGAATTGTTTAACTTAATGAAAGATGCATCGGAAACGGAAAAAATAACATGGAAATTTAATCCCCCCTCAGCTCCACATATGGGTGGACTTTGGGAAAGCAATATAAAATCTGTCAAGAGACATATAGTTCGAGTAATTGGTGATCAAATATTAACATTTGAAGAAACATATACATTACTTACGCAAATAGAGGCTATTCTTAATTCGCGGCCTTTGACTCCGATGAGTTCTGATCCGACAGATCTCACGGTTTTAAGCCCAGGTCATTTTTTAACTTTAGAGCCACTGTCATGTTTACCAAATCAAGACTTTTCTCATTTATCGCTCAATAGGCTATCTAGATGGCAGTTAGTACAGAAAATGCAGTCAGATTTCTGGAAACGTTGGCATGTTGAATATTTGAATACTTTACAGC